AATAACCTTAAGCAAGGAGAGAAGCCAGTCTCGGTTTATTTTTCCACCTTGAAATCCTTGTGGCATGAGATTGATCACTTAGAAACAATTGAGTGGGAAAGCCAGAAGGATGCACAGACCTACAGAAAGCAGGTTGAAACGAATAGGGTATTTGAGTTTCTAGCTGGTCTGAATTCTGAGTATGACATTCTGAGACAATAGCTTCTAACAAGAGACAGTGTGACCCTATCACAAGCTTACTCTCTAGTGCACAGTGAAGAAAGTAGAAGGAAAGTTATGTTACAGCATTCGCCACTTGAATCAGTCTTGGCAGCAACTAAACCCATGTTTGGGGAGGATAAGGAGAGAGATAGGAAGAAGGAAGACAAGAAGGACCTAATATGTGAACATTGCAAGAAACCTAAGCATACCAAAGAAACCTGTTGCAAGCTACATCCTCATCTAGTTCCAGCAAAACTTAGGAACAAAAAGGGGAATGCTCATACAGCTGTTACCACTGATTATGCAACCTCATCAGGCACAAGAGTAGCACCACTAGACACTCTAGTTGCCTTGACTCAGTTGGAAAAGGAGGTTGGTAATTCAGCATCATCATCTCAGCCAGTCACAACATCAGCTCCTCCCACCTCAGCATTCGCTCATTCAGATACACGGGCCTCAGCTTATCATGCTTCACCTCCAGGTAACACTGAAAATTGTTGGGTAATAAACTCAGGTGCATTTGATCATATGACCGGTTTGCCTTCACTATTTACTACCTATCACTTATCCTCTAGTAAAGACAAGGTGTCTATTGCTAATGGATCACTTGTTCCCATTTCTAGCAAGGGAGACATCAAGTTGTCTAGTGCCATTTCCCTGTCTTCTATTCTGCATGTTCCTAAACTTAGTACCAATTTACTTTCAGTTAGCAGCATTACTAAAAACCAAAATTGCTCAATAACCTTTTTTTCCTGATCGATGTGTTTTTCAGGACTTGGAGACAAGGAAAGTGATTGGGACTGGCTGTGAGACAAATGGAATCTATCTTCTTGGAGGAAGTTCATAGTGGGAAGGTAGTGAAGTTAGAGGGTCTTTTGTTTCTCAGTCTATTGGTCAAGTCATGCTTTGGCATAACCGATTGAGTCATTTATCCTTTAGGTCTTTGAAAAGCTTGTTTCCTAGTTTATTTGAATCTATCCAAATGTCCAGTTTAAAGTGTGAAAGTTGTAAGCTTGCAAAGCATTGTAGAACAACCTATTCATTAAGTAATAAGAGAAGTAGTGTTCCTTTTGACATTGTGCATACCGATGTTTGGGGACCATATCACATCACTACTATGGGGGGGTAAAGATACTTCTTGCTGTTTGTTGATGACTACACCCGGTTTTCTTGGGTCTACTTGATGCGTTCTCGAGATGAGGTTCCTACCCTGACCCAGACCTTTCATCAAATGATTTTAACCCAATATGGGGTAAAAATCAAAATTTTCAGATCCGATAATGTGATAGAATACTTTAAAACATCACTAGCCTCTTATTTTCTTGACCATGGGATTATCCATCAAAGTACCTACCCTCATACCCCTAAGCAAAATGGGGTCGCTGAGAGAAAGAATAGGCACATATTGGAAGTAGCTAGAAGTATCATATTTAACTCCAATGTGCCTATACATTTCTGGGGAAATGCCATTCTCATAGCTGTGTATCTCATCAACCGAATCCCCTCACGGATTCTTGACATGAAACCTCCATTCACTCTTTTATATCCTGATAAAGAGCTATTTTATATCCCTCTTAAAACCTTTGGTTGTACCTGCTTCATGCAAACTCTTGGCCCTCACAGTTCCAAATTTGACCCTAAAGCCTCAAAATGTATTTTCCTTGGTTATGCACAAACTCAAAAGGGACACTGCTGCTATGAACCTACTTCAGAAAAGAGATTTGTATCCATGGATGTTACTTTCTTTGAGGATGTACTTATTACTCTAGGGTTTCTTCTCAGGGGGAGAGTAGTAAGGTTGGGGTTAACACATCAGAAGTCCCTTTACCTGTTCCATTAAGTGAAGAGGGGTGTAATGGGGAGGGTTGTCAAAAATGTCAGGATTTGAGAGTTTATCATAGACGGTGGAGGCAGGTTGATTTCGGTTATCAGCAGTCCAGGCCACCCCAATTCCTTCTGAGGATCCAGATCCAGGTACTACATCTCTTCCATCTCCCATTACAGATGAGCCTTCTGCTGTTGAGCCTTCTCCATCTTCTAAGCCCTCACTTCCATTGAATGACCTTGACCTTCCCATTGCAGTCCGTAAAGGCAAATGCCGTTGCACCTCATCCACAGCCCACTGTATCTCACAATTCTTGTCCTATGATCATCTGTCTCCCTCTTACAAGTCCTTTCTTACATCCATTGCTAATATTCCCATTCTCATAACAGTACAGGAAGCCCTGACCATTCCTGAGTGGAAGGATGCAATGAAGGTAGAAATGGATGCCCTTCTGAGAAAMAATACCTAGGAGCTAGTTGATCAACCTAAAGGGAAGAAACCAATTGGATGTAGATGGGTGTTTACTGTGAAACATAATGCTGATGGTTTCATTGAAAGGTATAAGGCCCGATGAGTTGCAAAGGGATTTACTCAAACTTATGGTATAGATTACATGGAGACATTCGCACCAGTAGCAAAAATGACCAAAATGTAAATCAGTCCTCAAAAGTTAGGTGTAAATTTGAAGATTAGAGAAAAAAAGGAAGAATAAAGTAAGAGCAGCAGTACAAGAGAAGAACATGGCGAAAAGAGTAGGAAGAAGAAGAAAGGTTCGAATTATCTTCCCTTTCTTCTCTAATCCTTTTTATTAAGAATTAATGTTAAAGTAATTACAAGTATGCCCTTAAGTGGGTGGCCAGCTAGGCAGTAACATAAAGAGATCAAACAAAAAGAAATAACAGGCCCATTAAGAGAGGTCCATTAACCAACAAGAAAAAAGAAAAGATATTACAAGAGAAGATACTAGGACCCATTCGGCCCAGTCTCTTTACACTCCCCCTCAAGCTGAGCAAAGATGTCAGTCATGCCCAACTTGCTTATGTCTATCAACCTCAATGTGCTTAGTTTTGTCATGTTGAACAGGATTATGTGCAATGTTGATAGCTGCTTGGTTGTCACAATAGAG